TTTTTTTTTTGCAGTACGCGGGCCTCTCACTGTTGTGGCCTCTCTTGTTGCAGAGCACAGGCTCTGGACGCGCAGGCTCAGCGGCCATGGCTCATGGGCCCAGCCGCTCCGCGGCATGTGGGATCTTCCCGGACCGGGGCACAAACCCATGTCCCCTGCATCAGCAGGCAGACTCCCAACCACTGCGCCACCAGGGAAGCCCAGCTTTTCTACATTTTGAAATCATTGTGCCCATTGGAACTTTCTATCCCCTACCATCTTATATAACTGCTTGAAATATTATTCCGTAGTATCCTTACTATCAGTTTCAGTGACCTACCAAATAGTAAGACCAAAAAACTACGAGAAAGAAACATACCAGCATAGCCAGATAATTTGTATGTGTCTGTATATTGTGTCTGTCTTCCATAGAAATCTTCTTAAAAACCTTCAGCTTCACTGGGCTAGTACTTTTTATTATGCTGACAAAAGGCACCATCCAGTCTACACATTCAGAAATGTTGTCCCATTCCAAACCTAGATAAAGAAAAGTTAGAAAAATGTGAAGGTTACATCAGAAACATATGCCTACTTATTTGCTTGTGCTTCAAAATTTAAAGATAGTTAATTTAAAATTCATGTAAAAAAAAACCAAAACAAACACATAATATAAACCAAAATCAACGAGTTTATGTGGGATTAGCAGATGTAAACTACTGTATATAGGATGGATAAACAAGGTCCTACTGTATAGCACAGAGAACTATATTCAATATCCTGTGATAAACCATACTGGAAAAGAATATTAAAAAAAGCATGTCTCTATGTGTATAACTGAGTCACTTTGCTGCACAGCAGAGATTGGCACAATCTCATTGTAAATCAACTATACTTTAAAAAAATTTAAAAAATAACAAGTTTAGCAAGTCAAAACAGACTATCACTCTCAAATATGTTTATAATGTGACTATTTTGAGGGAGAAAAAGACTTAGAGCTTCTTAGCCAGTACCTGCTACATAGGAAATTGAAATTGTCAAAACCCAAAGAACTCTTTAATGCGGAGCTATAATTACATTGACTAACTTCAACTGGATTTAAATTCCATTTGACCGTATTTTTTGTTTGTGGATATATATTGAGGATTAGAAAGTACTTCTAATAGAAGGGAAGATAATCGCTAAACTGCTAACTTTTTTCCATTAAAATTTTAAATTCTTGTTTAGCAGGATGCTAAGTTCAAAATAGTCCCTTTAAAATTTGTGAATGGGTAAGAAGAGAACAAAATATACTGTCTTACCTGAGGCTTTCTTAACCACTTCACGAGAGGTAAAATGGCACAAGGCAGCAGCAGCGAGTATTCTGTACTGGAACTCTAATGAATCGATGGCAAGAATACACAGATCTAAAAGCTAACAGAGGAAAAAGTATAAGAATTTAGGAGAAGGATGAGTACTACATGTCACTACTAAACATCAGTCAGCTAACATTTTAGATTGCTTATGATATGGACCATATGCCAAGAATTGCTAAAACTACAGGGATCCAAAGAGAAATAAGCTGCCACCCTGCAGGAAGTTCAGTCTTGTTAATAAACAAGTAAAGGATTGTTAGGATATAGCATGATGTGTACTATTAGGAAGTGCACCTGATCCAGAGTGGGGAAGACAGGGAGGACTTCTGCTTAAGTGAGTCTTAAAATACAAGGTAGCCAGGAAGACTGGGAGGTAGAGAATGTTCTAGATATAGGAAACAGAATTTACAAAGATAAATGAGAAAGGATTACTTTTCTTTGGAACTCAAGTAGTTCAGAACACATAAGGTAAAAAATACGAAATAAGGAATATCTTTCCTTCATTATTTTAAAAAAAGGGGGTTGCTGGAGAGGCATGGCCTAGGTTAGATCATAAAGGGTCTTTAAGAAGTCAGAACTTTAAGGTTCTGACTGATTATTGAAATTACTAGAAGATTTTAAATCAGGGAAATTACATTTTAAGAACAATCCCTTCGACTCTGGTGAAGCAGAAACACAAGAAGGGAACATGTTTCTAAACAGATGAGTTGAGAGGTAGTACAATCCAGGCAATAAGAGATGTGAACAACGATCAGTGAAATTATGTAAAAAGGTTAGATTTCAGAGGCCTGAGGTGATACCTGTCCAGTGAAATAAAACTTATTTTTGTCCCCATGGGTCCAGAAGACAGAAACACAAGTAGAGGAGTTGGAAATGAATTATTACTATTATATACCTCTAGAAACTTTCCACACTGTTTATCAGCTTGTCAAAGGTTTGCCCTATCAAGAGCGTTTAGCTGCCTAGGATAATCTGGGATGCTAGGAAATCTGAGGGAAAAAATTAATATGACTTCATTAGAAAGTTCTACAAAATGAACCAATTCTAATATATTTACTGGTTCTCCAGTTTTAGTGTTCATAATGAGTTTACTGAAACACAAGTTGAATTTCAACGTAGGTTACTTAAACCCATCCAGAGTACCACAGTTTCTTCAATTCCATGTGTAAGATTTTCACATCCTACACAGAATAAAAATCAGGTACAGCAGCCTTAAGATCCTACTTATGAGAAGCAGGCAGGAAAGAATGGTACCCTCCTCCTGTAATTACTTTCTTAGAATATTTGTTATACACTGGCCTAGGAAAGTTTAATTTAAACTTAAAGTTTTAAATAATGTTATAACTAAATTAGGTGATTTTAATTTTAACACATAAAATAGGTTCCCTGTGTATTCAAATATGAGAGTAAGATAATTTTACAGAATAATTTCATACTATTATAAAACCTAAAACAACTGGCTGAAAAATACCTTTCCCCATGTTACATCAAAAAGAGGTATTTAACTCTCTAACTCATACTCCTAAAGAGTAAAAAGTGCTCATAATATATTTAAATGCAAGTTTTAAAACTTTGTTTTTTAGAATTTTCAGTAAGCAATGTAAATATTGGGGACAGAATTTTATGCATCGGAAGTTTTGTTCTAGTCAATTAAGGAATGAATTTAATTCAGTATGCTGTCATTTTGTTGTGTAGCCTATTTAGCACTATAAATACACTAAACAAAACCTGTAATTAAAAACATTAGCAAATATTCAATAAAAATATCAATACCTGAGCTATTTGAATGAACTTTTCCTGAGAATACTGAGGTAGAAGAACTTTAGGAGCATCTTTAAGAGCATCAACTTGGAGGAAGAGATTTAGCCAGGAGAT